TGCTTTAAAAATGTAAAGCATTTACCCTGCCGTTATTGTAGTTAGAAGAAAAGTTGGATGGATGGCACACTATTCGAAAAATGGGTTCGTGAAATTTATCGGCAAATTACAAAGGAAGGACTAAAAATTATTTTATTATTGATGATTGTCCAGCTCATCCAATAAATGATAATCACGAATCAATAGAACTAGTTTTTTTACCATCAAATATTACCTAGAAGTTACAGCCGATATAGAACACTATCTGTTCAAACATTAATTTATGCCATAGAAAAAAAAAAGCCTCTTCCGGAATTTACTATAATGGATGCCATGCAAATGCTTAATGTTGCTTGGGGGAAGGTAAAGACCAAAACTATTTGCAATTGTTTTGCTAAAGCTGGAATTTCAGAGAAAATATGTTTTGACGCCTCGGTAGATGTGGATGATCCCTTTGAGGATCTCAAAGACCAGTTAGAAAAGTTTGCTGTTCATTCATCCGAGTTTTTCCCTGAAGGAACAACAGCAAAAGATGTAGTTTCCATGTATGATTTTGTCAACACTGCCGAGCCGATAATGAATGATTAAATCAGACGTTTTAGGAGAAGAAAATTTTAAGGCTGAAAAAGATGAAGATAGTGATGTAGATTTTTTGATCGAACCAACTTGCCCTCAATAGGGTGATGTACGTCAAGCCCTGGAAGTACTACGAAGCTACATGATATTCAGTGACAATTCGGAGTGTATTCATAAATTTATAAACCAAATAAACTTAATTGTGGAAAAAGAATTATCAGAAAAGCTAATATAAGCGGATATACGTAGCTTTTTTCACTGAACTTTAATATAATAGTGTATATTTAATGTTTATACTTTAGCATTGAATAAATAAAAATTGCCTTAACTCGAACTAATATCTTATTTCTGTCAAAGTTCGACTTAACCGGACTTCACTTAAGTTGAACATTCATTAAGACGAACCATTTTCCTTGGTCTCTTGGAGGTTCGAGTTATCGGGAATTAACTGTATGTATATTATCTTATTTTTCTAAAATCTTTGTCAAACTTTGAAAACCAATTTCTAAAAACTAATAAATATTTCGATAACGACCTGAATCCCACCATATAAAAAAAATAAATTTAGAATAAAACGCATGTAAACAATGTTAAAATAATATAATGTTAAATAAGTTAATTAATTAAAATCCGTTGAATCATTTCTAAGTTAGTAAAAAATGATTTAGTATGTAATAATCTCAATAATAATAATAATAATCTTAGTAAAAGAAGATGTAAATACTAAATTATAAAAGTTTGATTTTGAAATTTTGTTTAAACTAATACTATACGGCTAGAGCAGTGCCGGATCAAGGCACTGCTCTAGCCGTATATTATTATTTATTTTTTTTAGTCATTTTTAGGCTCTGGCCCATAAAAGGGCCTCCAAAAACAAAAGTAGCCTCTGGCCCCAAGAAGTCTTAATCCGCCACTGGGCTAGTGAACAAATTTTTTTGTATTCTTTTCCGCATTTGTTACCTCTTTTTAAAACGCTAACATCGTAAAATTAAAATGTTTAGTGTTCGTTACCCAAGTACAGTGTTCGGCACCTAGGTAAGAATCACTTGTCAAGTGATCGGTACCGTCAGGTAGGAATTATTGTACAGTGATCCGTACCGGTTAAATACTTCATACCTCCTACAGCGGCAAAAAAAAACTTCTGAGCTGAATATAATAAGATTGTTTGAGTATCTGGTTAAGTATTTGTGCTTATTTATTATGAATAACAAATTAAAAATGTTAAGTGTTATTTTTGTATTAACTTTGAAAATAAAAATCAAATCTTTGAACATAAAAATCAAAAATGATAAATGTTAAGTTGTTAGACATTTAGTATATTCAGCTTTACAAATAATTCTTTGGTGTGTGTAAAACTACCTACAATAGATAATATTTTAATTTAATGCTTTTGTTTATAAAAGAGTTTTTTAATTTTGTTTTGACTTGTGCTGCACTAAGCAATGTTTGCGTAATTCAGATAACATTGAATAAAAGAGAAATACAGCAATTTTAAACAAGTTTGATTTAATAAAGGCATCGCTTTATAAAGTAGGCATAAATTTTTTGAAATTTCAAGATAATGTATATGATCTGCCCAAAGTTACGTTTTCGTCAAGAAGTACGCCTAGAAATTTTAATAAGTGTTCTTTTTTTAGCTTGGCTGCCAATACAAAGTATTAGAAGTTTAAAAGAGATTTAATCGCGTTTATGAAAGCAAAAAAATTGCAAAAAAGTTTAAGTTAAGCTAGTAAGTTTTAAGATGTTAATTGAATTAAACAACATTTTTATATCATGATAAGCATGATACAAATTTGTATCATCAGTATTCAAAATAACGTCTAGTAAATTACAAGATTTGTTTAAATCAATAATATAAATTAAAAATAGGAGTGGTCCTAAAATTTATCCTTGGGGAACGTCGCAGTTTATATTCATAAGGATCAGTTTCTTTGCTGCAAAAAGAAATGCATTGTTTCCTATTTGACAAATAGCTTTAAAACCACTTAATGTCCGAATGTTTAATCCCGTAATTTTCTAGTTTATTTAAGAGAATATAATGATCATCGGTGTCAAATGCTTTGTAAAAACCAATAAATACACCTAACGTATATTTATTTTTGTCGAATGCTTGAAAAATATTTTGAATAAGATGAAAAGTTGTTTTTGATCAGTGTAATGATTTAAATCCGAATTATTTATTATAAAGAATATTGTTATTTTCAAGAAAGGTAAATAGTCTATGATACATAATATATTCTAATAGTTTTGAATAACATGGTAATATTGAGATTGGTCTGTATTTGGAAACGCGTGAAACGTCTCCAAATTTTAGGACTTGCAATTTTAAGTTTATGGGGAAAGATTCCTTTAAAAGTTATGGTAGAGCGAGGCATATCGGGACAGTGGGGCGAAACAAGACAGTTATGCCTGAAACCTTATATCTCACCTAAAAATTATTTTTTTTTAAAACATTTTAAATTATTGTGCTTCACTTTTAGAAACTGGTTCAAAAAAAATAACTGGAAGTGAACTTTTTGAATAGTTTTTAATTTCAGTAAAATGACTTTTGTGGGCATATCGGGGCAAGAAGTTATTTATATAATTGACTATATTACTACCATTTTATTTACAGTTTGATAATTTTATTTTTAATCTTAGATATTATTTTCGTTATTTAGACAAGCAATATTAGTAATAAACTCAAAGAAACTATTGTTTTATAAACAACTATTATATTTATTTTATAATGTAAATAACGATGGTAAGAAATTATATAAGAAATATTAACCATCCAAAATGTGATGAAATGCAATTTTAGTTGTGAATAAAATGGAACTTAGAACTCGAAAAGCTGCTGATACATATGGCATATTTAAATTTGCTCTTCATTTTAGTTTTGCCCAACTTAAACTTGCAAACAATTTCTTATGTTTGTTTATTTAAAAGTATTTTATAATAAAACATAAAATATTTTTTTTATTTTAGTTGTTTTGTTTTTTTGTGGTGTATGGTTGTATGGGCGTGTAACTTGTATAGGTGTGTTACTTTTTTGAGATTTTAATGACTTAAATAATAAATTGCCTTCAATTTTTATCACTTTTAAAGCTTTGCAATTAACGAATAACTGCTGCTTTTTAACTGTCCTGCTTTGCCCCACCCACGTGAATTTTTGCTTGTCTAGAGTTTCGTTACCTTGGTTGGCATAACTTATTTTTATAATTTTTTTGTTTTTTTTTGGTTTTTTTTTATCTTACATCAATGAATTTTAAGGAATTAATAAAAAACAGTGTTAACAATGATTAGTTTATGCTCAACAAGCATTTGTTTCTTAAGTGTCCCTATCTGCCCCACTCTACATTAACTGTTAAAAGTTTGTATTTTTGCCTGGTTCGTACAGAAAGTCGCACTTAAATGTCAACAAGGTTTTGGTGTTTTATGGAATAAATATGACACAGTGAAAAAATAAACTTAATATTTAAAGTTAAATATTTAATAATTATTTTAGTATTAAACAAAAAATGTTTTTTCATCAATAAATTTATTATTTGTTAAACATTTTGTGCGTAATTAAATGTTTAGCGTTACTTTTCAATATATATATATATATATATATATATATATATATATATATATATATATATATATATATATATATATATATATATATATATATATATATATATATATATATATATATATATATATATATATAATATATATATATATATATATATATATATATATTATACACAGTGCTGTGACAAGTGGGTGCAAACCCCCCCCCCCCGCCCTAAAGAAAAACAACCTACCATTAGAACCTCTAGGTAATACAAAAAAATTCCTCAAATTTGCAAAAAATCCCTTAAATTTTCAAATGAGCCCCCTAAAGTTTCTGAAAGTGTGTGTTGGGGGAGGGGGAACCAACAATTATATGTGTTGGGGGCGCCTATCAACCGCTTTGTATATATATACATATATACACAAATGTATATGCATGATATATATATAAAATATACATATGTATATATATATGTAATACATACATATATATATATATATATATATATATATATATATATATATATATATATATATATATGTAATACATATATATATATATATATATATATATATATATATATATATATATATATATATATATATATATATATATATATGTAATACATATATATATATATGTAATACATATATATATATGTATGTAATATATATATATATATATATATATATATATATATATATATATATATATATATATATATATATATATATATATATATATATATATATATATATATATATGTATATATATATATATATATATATATATATATATATATATATATATATATATATATATATATATATATATATATATATATATATATATATATATATATATATATATATATATATATATATATATATATATATATGAGCTGAGATTAGTTATTCAAAAAGACTTATTTAAATCAACTGCCATTGCTGTTGCATTTTTCCTCTTGATGCGTTTAAAGCATATTTTGTTCAGGATAAGTTGTGCAGAGGTTCTGAATTTTTTATTGTGCATAACGTAAATAACAGGGTTTAATGCAGAGTTCAGCGGTGGAAGTATTTCTCCTACAATAATAACCGTAATCTGAAAAATCAATGGTTGCTTTTTTTTAAACTGATCTATTAAGTTTTTATTGTAAAACTTCAGAAATAAGAAAACAAATGTTGGGAGCCAACATGAAATGTAAACCAGAAAAACTATAAAGACAGAAGTAAATAATTTCTGTTGACGTAACTTGCGACGGCTAGTTCTTAAATTTAGCTCACCTATTTCACTTTGAGATATTTGATGAATATGCCGAAGTGTTGTTTTATAAACAAAATAATAAATGTACCCCATTAAAATTGCTGGAAGACAAAAACAAACAACATAAACTGTAGTAAAATAAATTTGGTTATCTGAAATGCAAGAACCATTACGCGGGTCGTAAACAACACTTGAATAGTTAAAAATATATTTAATAATAGGAAATCTTGTTGATTTATTCCATTTAAAAATCCCAAGAAAAGACCAAAAAAATGCGTAAGCCCAGACAGATAAGAGCCACTTGTAAATTGAAGCAGAAGATTCTGATAATGTAAATTGAAATGGAATCTTTAATGATAAATATCTTTCAATTGCTATTGAAAACAAATGCGTCATTGATGCAATTGACAGGAAGCATTCCATATATAAAACTGATATACAGGCATACTTTGATAAACAAAATAACTTGTTATTGTAAACTCTTTTTGCGTTTATTGGTACAGTTATGCATCCCACCAAAAAATCAGCAAAAGCTAGAGAAAGAAGTACAAAATAAGTCGTATTTTTACGAAGCTTTGGTGTAAAACCAATGACAATGACAACAAACGTATTCCCAAGGGTTGTTATAGGAATCATAATCAACAAAATTACAAATACTGAAAAGTAAGTTTTCTCTGTTTTTCTGTTACAAACTTCGGTTATATAATAGGACTTAACACTGACATTGCTACTATGAGCAAAAGTAAGAACTTTTATTAAGATGATTACCGTTATTCTTTTTTCCATTTATAAATACAACCTGAAAAAAGTTTATATAGAAAAATAAAACTTGACAAAAACGATCAGACTGATAATGCAAAATTTATGCATGCTTAATTAAAGTTAATGCATTGCGAAATTTTTAATTGATAAATCTTAATGTTTATTCTTATTTTTAAGTCATTAATAGTACAAAATTAGTTTACCATTAAATAAACTAAAAATGATGAAAAATGTAAATAAATAATCGTTTTATTGCATTCCAGAACTTGTTTTGTTTTATCTCAGGTTGCTACGCATATAGAATTTTTATGTTTCAACATTAGTTGCTATGAGACAACTTTAAAAGTAGTTAGTATGACAGATTTTGTGTTGTTACAAGAAAAAGTGTTGACGTTAAGTAAAAGGGCGTGTATGTTTCTTATTATTAGCTCTTTAATGATCTTAATAATATATGAGCTTTGTGCGTTAATTCGTTCATAACGATATTTAAGTTTTTATTTATTTTTTGATTAGTTTTTTTGTTACGTAAGATTTTTCTTTAGCTTTTCATAATGCGTTTGTTAAATAAAATCTAGACTTATAAACTTAATTTATTATTACACTCATACTAAAAATACAAGTTGGCATACATTAGTTATTTTTAAAAATACAACAGGCACTTTTTGTATCATACAAAAATTTTAACTAAACATCAAATATACGCACATTTTAAAACGAAATTGCATGCCAAAAATCAAGGAGTAGCAACGTTGCAACGGTTCGTTAAGAAATGATAAAACACCCCTGTTAACAAAAAAATCACGGAGAACCTCTTGTATGACAAATAAATGCGAGAAAGTGCAGAATACTATTAAATGTCTTAAATACTATTTTAAAAGATGTTCTCGATTACCTTTATTTCATAAATTTTAAAAGATGTTCTCGATTACCTTTATTCCATAAATTTTCTTCTTTTATTACGCATATTATCTTTATTGCTCATTTTAAAACTTTAAAATTTATTTTGTTCGGATACAGAGCGAATGTAGGTTGTGGAGATTTTGACATATTTTATTCTCTCGTTATGGAAATATTGTGAAAAAAATTATGATATAGGGGAAAACGAGGTAAGATAGTGAATGGGCCGAAATGGCTTTTCATATAGTAACTCAACAAAACAAAAAACTTAAAAATGGGTGCAAACGAAACTGTATTTACATCTTGTATTTTAAAACGCCAATTGGTTTTTTCTTTTAATATTATTAACGCAATTTTATACGCATAAGGTTACTATTTGTGCTGAAAATAAATTACTTTTTTATAATGAATGGTGTGATTCTTTTTTAGCAATATTTCTTTGGAACGGGTGTTTATTTTGTGTTTCATTAGTTAGATTAGTTGATAGTTTTTAAATTTTTATAAAATTGGAGTCAGAAATCGTTTAAGAAGTCATCTTGCTCCAGTCATGTGACCAGATGACATAGTTATGAACTTTTATTTTAATTTTTATTTCAAATTTTTTTACTTGCAAACTGAAAACTCCTGCGGGCGATAAATCATTATGATAACATGAACATACTTACAAAGTATTACTGCTTCATGACTGATAGTTTTGGAATAACTTAGGGCTTTCAAAACGTTCGCCATCTTGCTCGCTCTCCCCTAATTTTAAAAAGACTTCAGGCATTTAAATATCATTTTTACGTGTTTTTTTAAAGATTTTGCTGTAATATGAAATTATTATTAGGACTTTTTGCTAATATTAATTTTTTCCTATTTAGTAAAAATCTCAATTTTTATTTACCAGTAATAAAAGTTTTTTATTTACTAGTAAAAAAAAGCATTTAACAAAGATAAGATAAAAAAAAAAAAATAATAAACTTTTACAAAATGGCAAACAATCTGTGTCTGAAGAGGATTTTCTCATCAGATTTTTAATACAAGAGTAAACCAACATATAAATTAAAAAGTAAAAAGTATAAGAACAATAAATAAAATAAGTATAAATAAACTTCTATAAACATAAACATGCATATAAACAATAAAAAAAAGTAGCCCAAAATATATTTTTAACTTTTGCTACTAATAATCACTCAATATATTATCTAATGAAAGAATGAGGTTTTTCAGTTTTTTTTAAAAAAGGCAAAAAGTAATAGGTACTTCAAAATTAAAATTCGCCAAAACAATTTTAGTCCAAAGGTGTGGCGCTCGATAGGTAATACAAAATTGATTAAAGTTTGTTTGACAAAAAGGCTCATTTAAATAGTTATTATTTCTCAAAATATATTTACTGACTGATTTAAAAGAGAAAAAATCTTTGAATACGGCTAGGGATAAGTTATTTATCCACATATACACAAAACATAAAATATTAAATACATTTAACTCGTAAGTATTCAGAATTCTCATTTCAATAAAATAATGCTTCGAATGAGAGAAGCAATTTGCAAAATTGATTATACGGATTGCGCGTTTCTGACGGAGATAAAGACTTTGCAACTTTTTTCTGTACTTTCCCAAGCAATATTGGCATAATTTAAATAACTATGTATAAATGAATAATAAAGTTGGATTTAGACTTTCTTATTGAGATAGATTTGTGATTAAAACTATCTAAATTAATTCCTAATACAGAAGCCTCATTTAAAGATTTTTTAGTACCAATGGATAATTGCATTCACTCGGATGAGTTATCTAAAGAGTTATTATTTGATGAGTTCGAAAAAGCCTTCAAAACACTAAAAAAAAAATAAAGCAGTTGGACCAGATGAAATCAATGCTAATATAATTTTAGATTGTTTTGAACAAATAAAATATATTCTTTTAAAGTCTTTAAATCATCAATAGAACAAGGAGTCTTTCCTGATCAATTGAAAATTGCTAAAGTCATTCCACTTTTCAAAGGTGGTGACAAATCTGATATAAGTAATTATCGACCTATTTCTATCTTATCTATATTTTCAAAAATACTAGAAAGAATCATGTTCAATAGAGTATTTAATTATTTTAGTTTAAATAATTTATTATACAAAAATCAGTTTGGCTTTAAAAAGAATAACTCAACTGAACATCCAATTATTCAGTTGGTGCGTGAAATTTCCAATTCTTTTGAAAAATTTCAATTTACATTAGGAATTTTTATCGATCTTTTAAAAGCATTTGATACTGTCGATCATGATATTTTGCTTTATGAACTTAGTTATTACGGAATAAATGAAAGAGTTGAAATGGTTTCAAAGTTATTTATCGAACAGAAAACAATTTGTTTCTTGTAATGAACTTAATTATAAACAGTTTTTAAATGTTTCCTGTGGTGTTCTGCAAGGTTCCATTTTAGGCCCTCTTTTGTTTCTAATATATATCAACGACTTGCATAAAGCATCAAATCTTCTAAGTATTATGTTTGCTGATGACACAAACTTATTTCTCTCTAACAGTGACATCTATCTTCTTTTCTACATGATGAACAAAAAACGTTTTTTACCTCCAAATCTGCCAAAAAAAATTTATTGACCATATTGAAATTAAAAGAGATTCTGTAACTAAATACCTGGGGGTTTTGATTGACGAGAACATCACACGGAAACATCATATTAACTATGTTTGCTCGAAAGTTTCAAAAAGTATCGGAATTTTATATAAGGCGCGTACTCATTTAGATAAAAATAATTTAACTAAACTTTATTACTCTTTTATCTACAGTTATATAAGTTATGGAATTATTGCCTGGGGTAAAACTGATCAAAGCAAGTTACAATGTCTCTATCGCCGTCAGAAACATGCAATCCGTTTAATTAATTCTGCGGAGCGGTTCGCACATACCTCAATATTTTTTAATCAAATGAAAGTCCTAGATTAGATAGATAAACTAAACGTATATAAAAATTTATCTTTTGTCTATATGTGGAAGTATGATTTATCTCCTTTAATTTTTAAAGATCTTTTTATTTTGAAACCATTAAGCAAGTTTAACATAAGGAATAATAATAATTTAAATGAACCATTCTGTCGAAATTAATTCAATCAATTTTGTATCACTTATCGTGCAGCTCATCTTTGGAACAAAATTATTTTGCCTAACTTCGACTTACCCCTAACTTATCCTGTTTTTAAAATAAATTAAAAGACCACATTTTTTCCATTGAAAATATCTTAGAATATTTTTAATTTCTCTTGTGATAAAAGACAAAATAATAATAAACTTTATTGTCATGTATGTTCAAGTTTTATTTAAAAATTTTTTTTTTTTTTATGTAAATACGATTTATTGTTTTTATATGATTTTTTACGTACTTTTATTGTAAAAAGGCGTTTTTATAATATGTTACGTACTCTCTTTTGTAAAAGGCTTCTGACGATAAGATCATTGTGATCTTCTTTTAGAAGCCTTGTTTGTATTTGGAAAATATGTAATTTATATATATTACGTCAAATGTAAACAAACAAAATAAAAAAAAAACAGTTACTATTTTTTTTTTTAATATATATTTGCTGTTTTTATATTAAGAAATGTAATTACAAAGAAACGTTTACATACAAAAAAAGTGGATTTATAAAAAACAGGCAGGGGCTCAAAGAAGATACGGATGACTAAAGTCACCACAATCCTTTCATAGAGCCCCTAGGTGGGCTTTACAAGTTAAAAAAATAGGATCTCCAATATAATAAAAAGGTTAAAGCTTACATAAATATTTCCATTAAATCAAAAAAGTAAATAATATGATATAGTTTTAATAATATGATATAGTTTTATCAATATTCATTAAAATATACTGGCAACTCTGTTAAATATCAAAATATGAGCCAATTAAACAACTAAGAATAATTGAACTCGATTTTCATTTCAAAAAATCAAGAAAATTATTTATCTAATTTAAAAATTTCATTTTTTATTATAAACTTAATGGAATTTAATGGTTTTGCAGTATTTAATTTTTTTGTTTTTTGAAAAGTGTTGGTACACAAAAAATTTTCTTTAAAATTACCTGATTTAAAATCAAATCAGGTAATTTTAAAGGTTTATTTAAAAAGTTTAAAAGGAAGAAATTTGTGTCGTCAGCAAAGTTATTGAGTTAAGCTTTGCTG